AACTGTTAGTATCAACTCTCTAGTAAGGAACAACGAAAACTGGATGGAGGAAAGGTACAATTTTAATCGGCTTTTCAAGTATCTGACGCTGGGCGAAAATCTTGAAGTTCTCTGCTCATATCGGTTCCTATGGGCAGATGGCCCATAGACTGATGTAAAATTTGAAATTTTCGCTCCACAGTGTTCAAATGGTTTCAAATCGGGTCCTTATTAGCCTCCAAAAGTTCAAACTTATTTGATAAGAAACTGACTTGGCACAAACCATTTGAAGTTTATATGGAAATTACTATGGGAAAACAAAACTTTTTTGTTCATTGTCTTCTATCCTTTTACATATTGCACTGTTAACAAATTCTATTGCTATTATTATGGGAATTTTTATCAGCTATAACTTTGCGGAAAATCGTTTCTCAGCCAAACGTCACATTAAACGGTTTATAATTGTATAGGAGGTTGATAATATTATGGCAAGATTAAGCAACTGTATTGTGGGCAACACTGTATTCTGCAGTGTGACATAGTAGCCATGATTTTTGTCCTCTATTCTACGCGCCATAAACACCAATGTTGCCTGCTGAACAGTTGATTGAGCATAATCATAAAGCATCAGTAACTTGAATCATAAATAATTTTTGTCTTCAACAAACTTCTAGCTGAGAAAATTTTCAACAAGCGCAGTTATTATTTTCTAAAGTAAGTACTGGTGAATTTTGCGATAGATATGAACCGGAATTATCCCTAGCAGCACACTTGACTCTGAACAATTGTGGTTACTTGTGTGCAACTTATTCCAGGCACAATCAAGTTGCAGCAACTTATTTCGATGAAAGTGTGCTGCTCGGGATGGTTTCCCCATAGTAATTTCCATATAAACTTCAAATAGTTTGTGCCAAGTTCTTACTAAACGAGTTCAAATTTTGGGAGGCTAATCGAGACCCAATTTGGAACCGTTTGAGCATTGTGGAGCGAAAATTTCAAATTTTGCATTAGTCTAATGGCCAGCATATTCTAGATCCTGTAGACGTCAACATTGCTGCACAAACCTTTTCTCACGTCTTGGCATATGTCATTGACAGACACGTTTCCAAAAAGATCATCCATATCGACGCTCGCAGTCCCGTGGATGACGAAAGATCTTCGCTCGTTGAAAAGAACTAAGAAGGCTGCTCTCAGAAGATTTACTAAACTCCGCACACTGCCGCTGAAATGCTAATATGTCAGACTCAACCACGAGTATAAGCGGTTAAGTCGTCTCTGTTTTCAACGCAATCAAAGGAGGATTCAACGGTGGCTAAAATCACACCCGTAATCCTTCTGGAACTTCGTAAATGAGCAACGCAGGGAAGTCGGCTTACCCTCTTCCATGATTTTTAATGGTGAAACTGCTGGAAATCAACAAGACATTTGCAACCTGTTCTCAGCCAAATTTGCTAGTGTGTTTGAAGACGAGCAACTCTCCGCTAATATCATTACTTCTGCGGCCAGTAATGTTCCTTTGATCAACCAAACGCTCAGCATGGTCGAAGCCACTACAGATACGATTTCTAGAGCAGCATCTAAACTTAAGACTTCGACTAAGGCTGAACCCGATGGTGTTCCGTCGATTATTCTTAAAAAGAACATCACTTGTCTTTTAGATCCACTGCGCCGCATATTCCAGCTCTCTCTTTCCAGCGGCATCTTTCCGTCTTGCTGGAAGACTGCGGATATGTTTCCTGATCATAAAAAGGGAAGCAAATGCGACGTAAACAACTACCGGGGAATCGCGTTGCTGAGTGCTGTATCAAAACTTTTTGAATTGGTTGTCATAGAGTCCCTAAATGCGCATTGCAAGCAAGTACAGATCAACACGGATTCATAACTGGGCGTTCCACAACTACGAACCTGCTGTGCCTAACGTCTTATATCATAGACAGTTTGATTGCTCGGACCCAAACGGACGTTATCTACACAGATCTTACGGCAGCCTTCGATAAGCTGAACCACGAAATTGCGATCGCTAAGCTTGATAGGCTAGGGTTCGGTGGAAATCTTTTGAGATGGTTTCGTTCATACCTCACGGAGCGCCAATTGACAGTAACAACTTTGGGTACTTGTCGCTCAGCAAGCTTCTGCGCAAAGTCCGGTATACCTCAGGGTAGCCATCTGGGACCATTGGTATTTCTCCTCTACTTCGACGACGTTCACCATGTTATCACAGAGCCACGATTATCGTTTACAGACGATCTGAAAGTTTTTCTGCGCATCCGCTCACTCGCCGACTGCCGTTCTCTCCAAAATCAGATTGACATCTTTGCTGACTGGTGTAGTCTAAACCGACTGGTGGTCAACCCAGCTAAGTGTACAGTTATTAGTTTCTCATGCAAGAAACAACCTATTATTTTCAACTACAAACTACTAGGCACAACTATCGAACGGGTGCACTGCGTGAAAGACTTAGGCGTTTTTCTAGACTCAAAGCTGACATACTCACACCATATATCGTATGTCGTCGACAAAGCGTCCAGAACGCTTGGCTTTGTCTTCAAGATTACTAAGAACTTCACGAACATTTACTGCTTGAAATCGCTCTATTGCTCTCTCGTACGATCTACGTTGGAATACTGCTCTGCTGTCTGGAGCCCAAACTACAATAATGGGACCGAGCGAATTGAATCTGTTCAACGAAGTTTTCTTCGCTTCGCGCTCCGTAAGCTGCCTTGGAGATACCCACTTCCTCTTCCAAGCTACGATAATCGCTGCCAATTGATCAATGTCAAGCCCTTACGTATCCGAAGAGATGTTTTCAGAGCCCTAACCGTCGCCGATACTCTGCAAGGAAGAATCGACTGCGAAGCAATTCTGCAACAAGTGAACATTAATGTTCAACCTCGATCACTACACAACAGTCTTATGCTGAGACTTCCACTTCTTCGAACTAATTATAGCATAGGGAGCGCTATTTACGGCTTGCAGCTAGTGTTCAACCGAGTAGCGTCGATGTTCGATTTCCACTTGACACGGAATATGCTTCGCCGAAGATTCTCTGCCTTTTTTGCTGACCGAAGGCGCTTGATGCCCAACAGCTAAGTGTAAAATTTAAGACTTGTAAATTTTTAGTAACTTGACAATGCTTTCCTAGTTATTTTCGTTTGTAACTGTAGTAACTGTAGTATATGTATGTCATCTGTATAATCTGTACTTTTTTTACAACACATCATTCGGACTATTTCTAGTCTGTTGATGCAACCATAACAAATAAACAAATAAACTGTGTTCCAAGCTGAAATCCAAGCAATTTTAGAGTGTTCTATTATATGTTTGCGTAGAAACTATAAGAGTTTAAATATATGCATAATGTTCGACAGTCAAGCTGCTCTAAATGCTTTAAAATCGGTGACATGTACATCAAAACTTATCTGGGAGTGTGTTCAATCACTTCAAAATTGTCTTGTCATAATCATTGGGTTCCTGGATTGACGGAAATGAAAGAGCTGATGCACTAGCAAGACTCGGATCTTCTCATAAGTTCATAAGTGGCTTATTGGCTGCATCTCTTAGAATGGAGCTAAAAGCGTGGGAGTCTTCATAAGTGGAGGAAAACTGGAGGAACACTTCCATTGCTAGGCAGTCGAAGCGATTCATTAATCTAAACATTTATGTGACCCACACAATCCTGGAACTTTCTAAGAAAGATCTTAGCATATTTTCCGAGCTGTTATCACTTGAAGCTGATTGGAAAACTTCAAGATGATGTACCTATGTCGTTTCTGTGGCATAGAAAAGAAAGACTCGGAACATTGGCTATGCCACTGTCCGGAAATTTTCAATTATAGGCGTAAGTTCTTCGAGAAGGGCCTGAGAGAACACTTTGACATTTCTAGATGAACATTTCAAGAGGTCCTATCTGCATTGCTCGATTCTCTTCATCGACATTCTCTTTTGTTAATAACTCAGCTGCAAAAACATTCCCTCTTGTGTTTGACGTATTGGATGCTCAATTAGAACCTTCAGTTTGCATACCCATGGTTATCAAAAGAGAAAGTCGACGACGAGAATCGATCAAATCAGATAGGACCTTTTGAAATGTTTATCTAGCTTTGGAGAACAACTCTCAGCACGGCAGTGCACTTTATTCGAAGTGTAATGCCTTGCTGGGATAATGCAATCATTCAAGCAATGGCGATCATTCATAATAATAGTGATACGGCATCTGGAAAAAAAAATGGGGTATAGGGGAAATGGATGTAATGACGGCCCAAATGCCCCTAATTTGGGCCCATAAATAAATTCAGCAATCGACTTTTTTTTCCTTTATTAACGAGACTTTCAGCCTTAGGTGAGCAATCGACTAAATTTTCAATAGCGTCCAAAAATATCCATTAGTACCGTCCCAATGACGTGTTCATCTTGATAAAATTGATAATTAGCAGAATAGCAATGGGCCCTGTTGAATTTAGTTCAACTTGAAAGGGAATTTCCAAAATTATAATTCTCTGGCGCGAATAATAACACACAATCCGGGTGATTTTACCAATTTGGAGAATATAATTTTCGTTTAGTTTCCCTTTTCTAGCGTTCAGGATCTAGTTTAAGCCTAGCGTGTAGTTCTTTAGTGATAAGTCCGATAACATACAAGATTAATGTGTAGTGTATGGCGGCGGCAACAATAAATTTAGGTTACCAGTGATTGTAAATATGTATAGAGACCTTACTAGACTAAGATTGCTTTAAATTCACTGTATAATAGAATAAATTAACTGTAATTAGCCGTAATGTAAGTAGGGAGAAAAGGTTTCCACGTTTGTTTTTGTGTTTTGTGCTCGGTTTCTGGCGTTTTTCTTTGTACTCACCGGACCGTGACAGATTACCAAACCTGTCACTCCGCAGTATTCGGAATTGCCGCAGGGGTGCGCCGCGCGCGATGCTGTCGGTTGGTCACAAGGTGCACAGTGTTGAAGGTGTGCGCGCTGGCCATGCAGGCCAACACTCCCTCCAGGGTACGCCAACTTCCGGTTGGCTTACGGCTCGACGCGCTTAACATCTAACACTGCTATTTTAGCTGCTGGGCGTTCGTAGACTCCGGAGGCTGTCTTTACGGTCACGGACCGGACCTGGCCATCTCGACTGGCGGTTGTGTTGATGACCCTCCCTTTTGGCCAACAACTCCGGGGCATCTTAGGGTCGACGATGATCACTACATCCCCAGTAGCGATAGGCTTCGTAGACTGGAACCATTTCGACCGGCGGGTGATTTCTGGGAGATAGTCGGTGACCCACCGCTTCCAGAACAAATTGGCCAGAATCTGAGAGGTGCACCAGTTCTGCTTCAAGGCGAAACGACAGTCGTTACTCGTGACTAATGGTTTCGTTCCGTTGGATGAACCGAGCAGGAAGTGGTTCGGGGTGAGAGCTGGGGCAGAATCGTCATCTTCCGGCACGTGTGTTAGTGGTCTGGAGTTTACCACGCTCTCGATTTCGGTGAGAGTGTTTCGAAGCACTTCGTCGGACGGTTTTCTTGTTGTGCAGACGGCCATAAGGTTACTTTTCACGGTTCGTATTAGCCGCTCCCAACTTCCGCCCATGTGTGGTGCCAGCGGAGGATTGAACACCCACTCAATCTCGGTACTGGTGAACTCCTTCATGATCTCATCGTGGTCGATCACTTCTTCAAGCTTCTTCATTTCACGCTCCGCTCCGACAAAGTTGGTTCCTCGGTCGCTGTAGAACTTACGAGGTCGGCCACGCCGAGCGATGAAATTCCGGATTGCCATGATGCATGAGCTAGTGGTCAGTGAGTGGACTACTTCAATGTGTATCGCCCGGACGGTCAAACAGGTGGCCAGCATTCCCCAGCGTTTCTCGACCCTTCTGCCGACGACGACCTCAATTGGTCCAAAGTAATCGACTCCGGTGTGCGTGAACGGACGAGAGAATGCTGCTAGGCGACCAGGAGGTAGGTCGGCCATGAATGGAGGATTCGGTGCAGCACCATCGTTCTTACATCTCTGGCAATCTCTGCGTACTTGTTTGAAGCACGAGCGTAAGCGGCCGATTTGATATTTCTGCCGCAGTTCGTTTATCACTGTTTCGTGATTTTGGTGGTGGTATCTATTGTGGTAGTGGGATATTATTAAGGTAGTGATGTGGTGCTTTCGAGGTAGGATGATGGGTTTCTTCGCGTCTTCAGTGGCGTACTGGCATGCTGCGATACGTGTTCTCATTCGTAATATACCACGTTCGTCTAGCCACGGTGTCAGCTTGTAGAGCGAACTGGATTTCGGAAGCGGCACTGGCAGATCTCCCTCGATTTGCGGCGTATTCCGTAGGATAGAAAGTTCCTCAGGATAGCCGTCTTGCTGTGCCATGCGGATCAGATACGTTTCAGCTGTGCCCAATTCACTTGCGGCGAGCGATCCCGTTTTAGTTGGCAGCTTCTGTTGTTTGAGACGGCAGTTTGCTGTGAACCGTTGTACCTGTGCGACTATGCTTCTCATTCGTTCCCAGCTGGAGTAGTCCGCAGCGCAGACGATCGGTTCTGGAAGAGTGTAGTGGGTTGAAAGACTTGCTATGAGCTCGGCATCTGTTGATTCGTTCCGGATTGCAGATTGCGGCCACTTGTCTTCGGTTGACCAGAGAAAGTCAGGTCCGTTAAACCACCTGCTGGCGATAGATAGATCAGGATGCACGTTCCACTTTGTAGCATCATCCGCTACGTTTAGTCTGCTTGGTACGTATCGCCATTCATGCGCTTCTGTAACTTCCAGAATCTCGGTGACTCTGAATCCGACAAACTGACTGTATCGTCGATGGTCAGAGTTGATCCAGCACAGAACGTCCTGTGAATCCGACCAGTAGAATTTTTCCGTAATCCGCATGGAAAGCGTTTCGATGACCGTACGAGCGAGCCGTGTGTCTATTACAGCTGCTTGCAACTCTAGTCGAGGAATCGAAGTGAGCTTCAACGGTGCAACTCTGGCCTTCGAGGTTACGAGGGAGCAGTGGATTTTCCCGTCCCTGACGAAGCGAAGAAACGAAACGGCTGCCATAGCATTCTTTCCGGCATCAACGAAGGTGTGTAGCTGTACCTCATCGGCTTCGGTGAATGGGTAACTGGAACAGTAGCAGCGAGCGATCTGTACGTTCTCGACTTTTGGCAAGACTTTCAGCCAGGTTAGCCAACTCGCGAACGCGTCGCTGTCTATTTCCTCGTCCCAACTAATACCGGATCGCCAGATGTCTTGTAACAGGACCTTCAGGTAAGCTAGGAAGTGCGCTATCAGTCCAAGCGGATCAAATATAGTCATGAGGACTCGTAGAACTTCTCGCTTAGTGGGTCGTCTTCCACCTTTCAGCAAAGCTCCGTCGTAGCGATTCCAACCAACCTTGTATGTGAAGCTGTCGGTTGTTGTATTCCACCACATGCCCAAGACCTTCTCCGTAGATAACTCTGATGAAAGATCAAGACTTTTCTCCTTCGTGTTTTCTTCTTGCAGCGCCAATGTTACCCGTCTGGAATTGCTGATCCAGTTCCGGATCTCGAACCCGCCTTGTGCGTGAACGTGTCTGACGTCCTTCGCAGTCTGAATCGCTTCTTTCTCGGATGCAACGCTGATCAACATGTCATCGACATAGTGTGACTTCGTGATGGCTTCGTATGCAGCTGGGTAGTTACTTTTGAAGCGCTCCGCGTTAATGTTCTTCACGTACTGCGCGCTACTCGGAGAACAGCACGCCCCAAACGTCATGACTTTCATTGCGTACACAACGAGATTGCCTTCTTCATCCGTCCAAAAGAAGCACTGGTATTGTTGATCTTCTTCGCGAATCAGCACCTGATGAAACATTTCACGGATGTCTCCAGTTACTGCAACAGGATGCAGGCGAAATCGAAGCAGAATCGCGAGAAGAGACGAGAGTAGATCCGGTCCTTTGAATAGAGCAGAATTCAGGGACTTTCCGTGAGCTTTTGCTGCAACGTCCCACACTATCCTCACTTTTCCAGGTTTGTTTGGATTTGTGACTGGGAATATGGGCAGAAACCATGTGTGCGTAGATTGCTGCTGAACTTCATCGTCGGAAAGCTTGCGAACGTATCCTTTCGTTGTGTAGTCGGCGATCTTTTGCTGCAGTACTTTCGCCAGCTGCTGATCCTTCGCCATTCGTTTTTCCAAGGACTGATGTCGACGTAGTGCCATTTCTCGACTATCGGGCAGACGGATGTCGTCGTATTGCCAAAGTAAGCCTGTTTCGTAACGCTCGCCGTTGAAACGTGTACGGGACTGTAGAAGTGACTGGGCTCGCTCATCTTCGGACGCTAGAAGCACCTTCGCTGGCTTTATAACCCCGAGACTATCAAGGGAAAAGTACTCCTTCATGGCTAGATGTAGGTTTTCGTCGGATTCTTCGTTGCACGAGCGTACGTGGAACGTGTAATGGAACATATTCGGCGTCTCTCCGGTACACAGTCCTCCACAAACAGTCCATCCCAGCCGGGTCTTCATCGCAATCGGTTGACCTAACTCTCCTTCACGGCTCTTCAGCGTCAGTCCCAGCTGAGCATGCTTCATTCCTATCAGGATGCGCGGACGAGCGTCGTGGTATGACTCGATAGGCAGTCCTTTAAGATGCGGATACAAACGCACTAGCTCATCGAAATCTAGAGTTTGGTGTGGCAGCTTTAGTTCGTTCACTGTTCGCACATCCTCCAGATGGAACTTCTTGGCTTCGTGATGTCTTGTAGAAACGTGAAGCTTGACAATACGGGAATTCTTCTCGTAGCGTTGAGTTCCTCCGGTCCAACGAAGGCAGAGTGGACTCGAGGTTCCATCTAACTTCAGCTCGTCAGCTAATTCTTGGTCCAGTAGCGTCAGTGCAGAGCCTTCGTCCAAAAAGGCATACGTATGTACCTCCTTTCCAGGTCCTGAAAGCACTACCGGGAGATAGCGAAACAACACAGAGCTTGATGTTGTCTGATGTATGTTGCAACCATGTCCGGAACTACCAGCTTCAGGTTGGGACGACTGTTGATTTCCGCTCGGAGTTGTGTTCTTTTCTTTGTTGTCATTGTGTAGCAGTTCATGATGTCTGTATGCGCATCCGTCCTTGCCGCATGGTTTGGCCTTGCAGTTTCCCTTGTGTTGTCGAAGGCATGTGCGGCAAAGTCCACACTCCCTCACTACAGCCCATCTGGATTCCCTGGAGAATTCTCGAAAACGTTTGCACTTGTCCACAGATTTGCAGTTCTCTTTGCATACTGGGCACACCTCCTTGGCTGGTGTTGGTGCAGGATCTACTTCCGCCTTTGGAAACGTATTTGATTTCTTGTCGTGGTGAACTGTTGTCTCGGAATGCGCATTAAGATAGGTGTCTCCCTTTTTGCTCCGACGAATATCGTTCCGCCCAGGCTTTGTTTCCAGCGGTATTGTAGGAAACGTTAATGAACTTGCTGCTTCCGCTAGAGTGTAGACCCATTCGCTGAAGGTCACCAGGTTGACCGTTAGGTGCGTTTTCCGGTGTTGAGCCCAACTTAGCTTGATATTCGGTGGTAGTTTGCTGACGAGCTGGTGTAACAGGGTGACGTTATACATGTAGTCCTCCAAACCGCATAACTCAACTGTAGCACAAAAGTTCTGAACGCTCACTGCGAAATCTACCAATGTTTCCAGTCGATCTTCGCGAATCGCTGGTAGCGAGCTTATCTTTGCAATCAAGGAATGCACAATTACTTCCGGTTGACCGTACAGCATTCTCAGCGTATCCATAACTCCTTGTATGTTTCCTGGATGCATTAGCCGGCACTTGACGGCCTCGTAGGCTTTCCCCTTTAAGCTTCGTTGCAGTCGGACCAAGTTTTCCTCTTCCGTGAATCCACACATAGCTGTCGTGCTGTTGAACATGGACAAAAAGATCGGCCATTCTTCCGGATTGCCAGAAAATGTAGGCAAATCTTTCGAAACTGCTTGCCGTGCTGCAATTTGGGAGCGTGAAAGTTGAAACTGGTCGTAGTCATCTTCCATAACCGTGGAGTTCCTCGAGGATCTCAGAGGTCGTGTAGCACGCGCTGGATTGCAAGCTGATCGATCCACAGTTGAGCTGCTCGGATGATTTGCTTCGGGTTGAACTTGCGTTGACTGCGGTAGAGTTCCTGGACTGAAGTGTCCTGATTGACCGCGCATCGAATCTCGATAGGGATTACCCGATGCACGATTTGCCAGTGCAGTCGTAGGTTGCAGTGTTGGAAACTGTCTCGAAGGCACCGGATTTCTAAATTGGTTACGATTTGCTAGTTGTTGGTCGAGCAGACGTCTTTCCTGCTTCAACTGCTCTTCCCACAATTGGTTGACGCGGTCTTCCTCCTTTTGCAACTGTTGCTGTTGCTCCCGCAGAAGTTTCTCCTGTTGCAGCTGTTGTTGACGTTGTTGCTGTTGGTACTGTCGGAATTTGTCTTCTCTCTGCAACTGTTGTTGATCTTGCTGCCGCAGCCGCTCCTGCTGTAACTGCTGTTGTCGTTGTTGTTGACGAAGCTGTTCCTGAGCGTTAGAATCAGGTGCAGGCTCGGCTGTCTTCAACTGAGTACGACTCGCAGTTTTCACCCATTCTTCCACCCGACTTCGCGAAATGATAGAACTAGAACTCCGTCTTGACCCCTTTTCACTTGCCAAGTCCTCCAGAATCTTATACTTCTTGGTTAGGAATTCTCTGTGCTTTTCTGCTTCTTCGTGTTCAGCTACCCGCCGACGTTCCGCTTCTTTTTCTTCAGCTAACCGCCGACGTTCTGCCACCTCCTTTTCTTGCTTTTTGCGTCGCTCTGATTGCCGTTCTTCGAACTCCTTTTCTTCCTGCAGCCTCAGTAGCTGCAACTTGGCACGATTCCGAGCGGATCTCTGCGACGAGGAACACGAAACTTCTGAAAACTTCTTCTCCAACTCAATTTCGGGCAGTCCTTCCACTGACGGCACAAAAAGCTTCTCCTTCTGTTTGCCCATTCCAATATTCGGTTGAGAAACAGAATCTGGTTCCACCAACGGCGCTGGCCCTGACCGCTTTTTTGATCCACTTGGTTCTGGAACTGGTGGATTACCCATGAATAGTACCGCAGGCTCGGAGTGAGTGGATTTAAATTTACCACTAGATGAACGAATAGGCGTAGTCGCTGTAGTTTCCTTAACGGACGACGTACGTTTCGATTTGTGCTCCTTTCTGGTATCCTTCGGTGTTGATTGTTTGCCTGAAGTTGTCGTAGTTCGCTGGATCCATTTTGCGGTCTTGCAGTTGGTACAACTCCAGCTCTGGTTGACAACTTCGTCGGTTACTCCAACACAATCGTAATGATGCCATCCATCGCACTGATCGCATTGTACCATTTCGTCGGTATCAGGTCCTCCACAGCTCCTACAGGTTTGACCATCGACGGTCTTCTCCGTCTCATCCACCACTACCACATCATCACTACCATCACCACCATTCTCCATATCACTGTCACTAACCACACCACTCTCTACCGGTTTGGGCTGTGCACTCTTGCTACCCTCGGACTTCGAACCGCGACTTGACATGCTCGCGAACTGATCGGTATTCGTGATAAACGAAAATTATATAATGTTGAATTTAGTTCAACTTGAAAGGGAATTTCCAAAATTATAATTCTCTGGCGCGAATAATAACACACAATCCGGGTGATTTTACCAATTTGGAGAATATAATTTTCGTTTAGTTTCCCTTTTCTAGCGTTCAGGATCTAGTTTAAGCCTAGCGTGTAGTTCTTTAGTGATAAGTCCGATAACATACAAGATTAATGTGTAGTGTATGGCGGCGGCAACAATAAATCTAGGTTACCAGTGATTGTAAATATGTATAGAGACCTTACTAGACTAAGATTGCTTTAAATTCACTGTATAATAGAATAAATTAACTGTAATTAGCCGTAATGTAAGTAGGGAGAAAAGGTTTCCACGTTTGTTTTTGTGTTTTGTGCTCGGTTTCTGGCGTTTTTCTTTGTACTCACCGGACCGTGACAGATTACCAAACCTGTCACTCCGCAGTATTCGGAATTGCCGCAGGGGTGCGCCGCGCGCGATGCTGTCGGTTGGTCACAAGGTGCACAGTGTTGAAGGTGTGCGCGCTGGCCATGCAGGCCAACAGGCCCAATCTTTGATCCATAGGCCAACATTAGAGCCATTTCCCTATATCACAATAGATCAGAAAAATGGTCGCAGTGATGAAAACAATAAAAAACAAAGAAATATAAACAATCGAATTAAATATGGCCTTGGGCCTGATTATAGATGTCGAAACGAAACGATTTTTGTATGAACGCTAGTATGAAAATGTCGTTTCCACTTGCGTATATCATCACATCAAAGCGATAGCAAACAATCGCCCAGAATGAAGTCGATTTAGGTTAAGAGAAAAGAGCGGTAATTTAAAACATGTATCGTCATTACGAATGCTTATTAATTAATAAATAAAACACAAAATGTGTGATATTTTTCATTATTCAATAATTAATGTTTAAATTAAAAAAAAAAAACAATTTGCTGGCGTAGTGTATCATAGTTAGAAAAATAATCGAAAAAATGTTGTTGCCCAAAGATGCGAGTGTAATCAATCATGAGCCACAGGTTTTGACTGGCCTCGGCAAAAGCCATTAATCATCGAAGTTCAAACATCACCGGACTGGTTTTAAATCATGATTCATCATCGCAGCTCAGATACTAAATGTGCTCACCACCTGTACTTTTTATGGTTTCTGGCTATAAAGTATAAGTCTTTAGAATAATACTGTATTTAAGAGCTTTATTTTTGATTTATGTTGGATTGATTGTAATACAATTTTGTTTACAATAAAATTACGGGCCACCTACAATGCTAAAATCGACTAATTGGTATTTGCAGTGGCGGCCGGAAGAAAACACTGAGCATAATATCCACTACCATTCACCAACAAGGAAGTAAAGAAATGGAGACTTCAGCTATCTCAATTAAACACATAAATAAGTTTCTCTTTAATCTAGTCTAGGGTGTTGGATATATATATAATTTGAAATATCTGCTTTTTTTTAACAATATATAAATAAAAGTTTTTAAACAATAAGGTATTGAAAAGTATATTTGTAAAGGAAAAAAAAAGAGTGTAAGTAATAAATTAATAAATTAAAGCAATAGCTTCACTGATAGGATTTGACTTAAATGAATCTATCGAAGACCGCTAACATCAATAGCTTAAAGCAAAGAGTTTTCTTACTCTGTCGAAACCCCCTAGAATCTAATAAAATCCCCAACATCTAATAGTGCTGAGTTTTCTTATGAACCGACAGATTGCTAGCGTGTAGGAACGACTTGGTACACATATTGCATTTATAGGGTCGCACCTTCTGTGCGGCATGGATTCTCATATGAACCTTCAGGTTTCCGCTTGTGGCAAATGCACTGGAACAGAATTTGCACTGGTATGGTCGTTCGCCGGTGTGCACCCGATAGTGGATCGTCAGATACGATGGATGACTGAATGTTTTGTTGCAAATCTTACACGTGCTGGACAGTTCGCTGCCTCCCGCCGATTCACTCGAGCTGCCACCCATCGGGAATGAATGGGTTTCCACGTGCGAGCGAAGCCGGACTTCGGAGTTGAAACTTTTGTGGCAATGGTTACACTTGTACGGTCGATCCTGCGAATGTACAACGTTCATGTGTGTTTTCATATTGCTGGACGTGGAAAATGCTCGGCCGCAAATGTTGCACGCGTAGGGACGTTCTCCCGTGTGGCTTCGTCTGTGGATGATCAGGTTTCCGTACAGCTTGAAGGTGGCATCACAGAGGTCACATTTGAAGCGACCGTCCGGTAGGGTATTTTTCATTTTGTGCTGATCCATGTGGAACTTGAGTGTACGAGAGCAGGTAAAGGTTTGAAGACAAAAGTTACACTTCAACGAGTTGGTATTGGAGTGCATTGATTCGTGGTATTTGAGTTCTTGTACGCTTGGAAAGGTTTTGTTGCATATGTAACAGCTTAGTACGGATCTTCCGACAACATGTGAAATTTGCAAGTTGTACTCTTCGGATTTTTGATGCGCAGGACAAAACTGTGCATGCTGGTTGAGTTCGAAAGGTGAGGAAAAATCCCCTCCACATTCATTACATCGTGCTGAGCTCGAGCTGACCGGCTCTTCCGTTGACATCGATTGTTCCTCATCAAATCCCAAGCTTATCTTTAGCAAATCTTCCGGCTTCACCTCACTGCCAAATGTGTGATCGAAAGCAGACGGATCCATTGATACATCTTTGCCCTCCAACGCCCGAAGCAAGGTCTCATCCAACTTTTCCAAATTGATATCCTCATTATCGTGCTCTTCCAGCTTACTTTCCTCGATTTCGACTTTATCAACTGTCTCGTACGGTTCCGTCTGTTTCCGCTTGCAATACTGTATGTTATTTTTTCTACATGTCACCCGAAATTGGAAGAACTCATCCAGCTTTGTCGTGCATTTTTTGCAAATTTGCGAGGTCAAATCATCATCATCAACTGGCAACTGAAAAAGTGAGAAACAAATAAATGGGTTACACCTTTTAAAATTCTTCCCTGCTACAAGTCGCATCCATCTGGATATTTATTACCTGAAGCGAGGTACATTTGTAGATTTTTATTGCCACCTGAGATTCACAATCGACATCGTCTTCGTCGTCGTTATCCGGGAATATGCGTTCCATCTCCAAGCATTCTTCGAAACACAGTCTGCAGCGCGCCTCCATTTTGTATCAAAATTTCAATTAATTATAATTTATTATTATTATATTCGACGCCAACTGTGGAAAAGCATGAAAAGAGCAGACAAGAAAAGAAAAAAAAATGAATACCAGCAAAACCAGCCCAGTCATTATTAATGGAAGTTTCCCTTCCCTTCTTTGGCATGAATAACATGAATAAAGTGATTAATTATCCAACCGATTATAATAAATGATGATTCGAATACAACACAGCACATAGCACCAAGGTTCCAATCAAACTTGCTACTCAAAATCGAAAAGTTTTGCAGCAACCTACCTTCTGGAACATTTGACTCGATTCCACCAACTCGCTTACATCGAGGAAAACTATTGATTTCCAGTTAAATGATAATTAAATTAATCAAATTGTTAATTATACGACCGAGGGTCTCTCCAACACAATGATCTTGGCTCTTTTTAGGGCGCTTGGATGTACACACAACACAAAACCGAACTCAGCAGTGGCCACTGACAGAATGAAGTCTTCTATAGCATGTGAAGTGGGTATAAGGGAACGTGAGAAACTTCAAACCACCACGGCGATGATGGCTGCATACGCTTCGAATGTTTGGAAAAGACTATGAACACAGTGGCGAATGGGGTTGGTGAGTAAAGTAGGAGCTGTTTAGTTAACCATTTTGCGGCTTGTTTCATTATCAAACCTTAACTTTCCTTATGATTTTTTTAACAATATTCTCACAATGTTTCGAAAATAGTAATATGCAAAAATAAACTCATCATTGTGAATGGCCTAAATATAGAGAGCCTCCATTTTGGTAAAATGACAGTATAAATCCAATACAAGAGCAACGGACAAAAACAACAAACTGCTCATGTCGAAATCATGGAGGCGCTTGGCTAACTATTTTCAAATAGATCATGAAGCGCCTCCATTTTGGTAAGCTAAACCGTCATACAATCTAAAGCCAACAGAAGAGAAGTGGGCTGTGGTGGATGCGCAAACGAATTGAAAAACAGTTTGATTAAGACGCAATAATTTCCGTTAAAAGCGTCGATGCGCAACATAAATGAAAAACAAACTTGTAACTCAAAATGACAGAAATGCATTCTAAGCATTTCCACCGGATAAACAAAGAGCGCAGACGACGCAATGAATGAAATGATTGTTCACATATGTAGCTTAGCATACTTGCAATAAACATAATCGATCGTGTGTGCACATGGGATCGGGATGATTCGAAAATAACAGGAAGTCATCAAATGAAAATATGGAAACGATCAGGTTCATATCGCGGAGTCGCTTGGCTAATTATAGAGACCTCCACCATGAATCGTTAACTATTCACGGAGCCAACCATCGGCTATTGTCTAAATTTGGTGATTGATCTCGCTGCAAAAATCAAGGGTTCTACACGGTCTAGGAGCTAGGAGCTGAATGAAAGGTGACACACGAGGAAAAAGTATTAGTTTGTTTACTAAAATGAACTATGTCCATTTTGTTATGGCAAGTTTTGCTATAAGAAATGCTCCTCGTGTTTCTTAGCGAAATTCACATCAAAGATTGATTAATTGCGTAGGAAATCAGTTTGGCACGGCATTTGTGACCAGCATACACCTTCCGGTCGTATGAAACAGGTCAAAAACTGTCCAAATCCGCAGATAAAAATTTTTGTTTTGATTTTCTGTATAGCAAAATAGTGAACTTTTCGTGAACATTAACGGCAAAGAACTCACCAACACTGGGAGACCGTGAGTTCCTGCCCACCTGTCATCTCCCATCTCGGTCCAAATGCACCAGCTTTTTTTTAAGGGCAGTTGAATAACTGTTTGTTATGAAGATCGTTAGAAAATTGTAATGCTGCCTTCATGCATAATGTGAAGCATATTTTTTTTCGTGAGGTAATGATATGTGCATATTCTTTGAAACCTTTATGTTTAGCTTCATTTCTGAAATTCATCATGTTGACTACATTTCCACTAGCCTTAATTACAGAACCGTAATGGCATACGAAATGATGTTTTGGCTTAAGGTGTTCATCGAATAGGTCCTGATATAATGTGTGATGTACTTTGTACAGCTCGCTTATCTCATCAATATCACTCAAAGAAAACGTTTGATTTAATATTTTTTTTTGGTAAGTTTTACTAGAACTTTACAAGAGTTTCAAACAGGAGCTATTTTACTAAAAACACTTTTGGCCACATTGAATGCTTTGAGAGAAGCAAATATTTTTTTTAATATGCAATAATTAGGAATAGCAGTTAGCCCGAAGCAACAATAGAAATTTGCGTTAAATGATAGAAACTGTAACAATTGGTGCATACCGAGATTATCACCCTGAAGCAACGTTGTTACAAGTTTAATTTCTTTACTAACCCCATTGACTTCAAATGTAAGCTGTTGTTGTTCAATGTCCTTAAATGCTTTCACAACATGCTCGAATAATGTATTGAACCCTACGTCATTTAAATCTACTTTTTTATCATTGCGGCAACAAAAAATGTTGCATAGTTTTGACCTATATTCATCGGGAATTGTAGGAATGAAATAATATACTCCACAAACAATATGTTTCTTGTAGTGGGAGCTGAGACTGTCATTAATTTCGAATTCGTCCGCGTATAATGAAATTGGTTTAAGCATTACATCAGGATATTTCTGTTGAATCGCTTTCCATCTACTTCCAGTAACAATGCTATTTATTGAATCGGATTGCTGGTGCTTAGTGATCTGTTCCAAGATTGCGATCAAAATATTTGGACAATTTAAAAATGATTTCAACTGAAATGCAATATCCATAATAGCAAGATAACTGTTTTCTTCTTCAACTATTGCGCCTATCTGAGTATGAATAACAGTTCTATTATTTTCGACAGTTATAATTTTTGGAGGATGGATAAAATTGTTGTCTTGTTAGTACTTCAGTAGATTCAAGTGAATTTTGATTATTGGCTACTACAGCAGTCGCTATTTGTATTTGGTCAATTAGATCAGAAGGTTGAGGATACTGAGGTGAATCTTCATGTCTTAAAATATGACGTTTGAAAACATACCAATTGGCTAGCTTTTGATAACAGCCTTCGTACGTACAAATATATTTGTATACTCTATGAACTCTATGTATGTCAAATAGATGATCGAAATAAAGGTACGCTAGCAGGGCATTCAGGAATCATACTGCTCATAATCGCAAGTCAGTCCCATCTGTAAAAAACTGGAAATGAGAAAACGGCGTTCAAAATTTTTACAAGTTTCTGATTTGACACTTATTTTGCTGAATAAATTTAAAAATAAACGTACAAGTGGGACTGACTTGCGATTACATTTAAAGTCAATGAGAAAAATAACCGCAAGTCAGTCACAATTCAATGACGATGCTGCATTAGTTTAGCACAGTATTGAACAGTAGAAAGATACCATGGTCCCATAGAACGTTATTGAACGTTTATGGATTTGTTCCGCTGGTTCCAGAGCAATGGCCGGAACATATTCCGGTGAGTATGGGTCTTCAACAGACCAGAGCTTTTCATAAACGTGCCGAACCCACCATGCGATAGCTCAATTCACATGAGAATTCAAAAATAAGCACCATGTTGGCCATACCCGGACATATTCCGGGTATCCCTGGGGAAGTGTTAAATCCTTTTTAAATCAAATCATCAAAGGCCTTTAAGCGATACATCAAATCACATGAGAATTCAAAGCCATATCCATTGGCGGTCAAACTGAGTATCGTAAGAACTATATTGGCCACATCCGGACATGTTCCAGATATCCTAGGGGAACTGGACAAAATCTGACAAAATTGAGACAAATCTCACGATGCGATGTGGGACTGACTTGCGATTACTATTCGCTGTGGGACAATTTGACTTGGTATTGTTTTTCATTTTTCTTGAACAAACCACCTTTTTCCAATCTCAAAAAACATAGAACGATAAACTGAATAATGATGCTAACTCAAAATTGATAAAAATGCAGATGGGACTGACTTGCGATTACCGGCAGCATACACGTGATCATATTAAGTCAGGTGACAAGTATCTTCTCAGCTTATTGATAGATTCGTACTGCTCTTGAACAGAGCTGTAGATATGTAGATAAAATTCCATACGAGTCTGGAAATTCGTGAGTATTCCAGTCCAAAAATGGTATTTAGCTTAACGAGTACGTCAATTGTTCTTGCCGCTGTATCAAGCTTGTACGTAACCCCTTTGTAGTACACCTCGAATACTCCAGTCAAGGACCTTATGTTTTGACCTCGGAATAAGAGACGTGCAATGGGTGAAAATCCAAATTGGGTGTAAGTCGACTTCAGTTCATCATTTTTTCCAAAGCCTGCTCATCAGTGTCTGCAAACAAGATGATATCCTCTTGTGCTGACAAGATCGATGGCTTGAAGGGTTTTGTTACCTTTGTTGGTCTCAGGAAGTTGTTTAAAAGCAGAAAGATGGCACTAATTCATTCACCTAAAACAAAATGAGTCAACTTTAAATTCATTTTTATAATAAATATGCATCTAACATTGGTTCAGGTTTGGTAATTTTAGAAATTCTAAAATGGACGTACTGAATGATCTTTGCAAGAACAGATTCCCAATTCTTCAAACCTTGACCATTTTCTACATCCAGCAACCGAAAATCTTCGTCAATCTGAAAATAAACGTTGAATGAAATGAATTAATTAACCTAGATGATTAAATTAGATTACTTGACAACCAGCATAAATAAAATAACATATACTCAATTTTCAGCACTAGTTTCCTGGTTGTTATTATCATTTACTCACTTTATTCATGTTTAGACATTACTTACCTTACTAATCAGGCTAAGGCCTTGTTGTCCTCTGCTGTCCGAAGAAGTCGTCTCCACTCTACTCGATCCATGACCACAGTTCGCCAGCCTCGTAGTCTGCGAAGGGTCCGCAGGTCACCTTCTACTTGGTCGATCCACCTTGCCCGCTGCGCGCCTCTTCTTTTTGTTCCTGTTGGGTCGCTTTCTAGAACCATTTTCACTGGGTCGTCGTGCGGCATTCTTACGACGTGCCCAGCCCACCGTAGTCGCCCAATTTTTGCAATGTGGACGATGGATGGTTCTCCCAGCAGCTGGTGCAATTCGTGGTTCATTCGCCTCCTCCACGTTCCGTCATCCATCTGCACCTCACCGTAAATGGTACGCAACACCTTCCGTTCGAAAACACCAAGGGCGCGTTGGTCCTCCACGAGCATAGTCCAGGTCTCGTGGCCGTAAAGGCCCACCGGTCTAATCAGCGTCTTGTAGACAGTCAACTTCGTGCAGCGGCGAATTTTATTCGACCGGAGCGTCCTCCGGAGTCCAAAGTAGGCACGATTCCCTGCCATAATGCGTCTTTGAATTTCTCTGCTGGTATCATTTTCGGCGGTCACCAGTGAGCCCAAATACACGAACTCATCGACCACCTCGATTTCGTCACCGTCAATCTGAACTCGGGGTGGGAGGCTAACATTGTCTTC